ACAACTATAATCAACAGTTACTAGTTGTGAGCAATTTTCCTATAGGCCTTAACTTCCAAATTCAACATCACCTCAACTTGGATGCCTCACAGGCACCTCAAGCCTAACATATCCAAAACTGAACTCATCATTTCTCCAACTGTCTCTCTCTCATTCCTGTGACTCATCTCAGGAACTGACAATACCACAATCCTACTTCCATAGTGATACTGCCTCGGAAACCCAAGGAGGAGTCGCTATGAGTCGGGGCCGACTCGATGGCAAACAACAACAACAACAACAACAGTTTTCCCAAGCCAGAAATCTGAGCTTTCCTCATCCTCATATCCAATTCATTACAGTCTTGTGAGGAGCCCTGATGGTGCAATGGTTAAGTGTTTGGCTGCTAACTGAAAGGTTGGTGGTACAAACCCACCAGCTCTGCTGGAGAAAAGACCTAGTGATTTCTTCCCATAAAGATTACAGCTTAGGAAATCCTATGGAGCAGTTCTACCCTGACTAAGGTGCACATGACACAAGCCATGGTATTTTCAGTAACTTCAAATACATGTGCAAACTGGACAATAAATATGGAAGAATGAAGAAGAATGGATGCATGTGAACTGTGGTGTTCAGAAATGGCAGCAGGTTGAGGCATAAGATGGAAAGAGGCCAGTAAGATAACAGCTGGTAACACTGAGACAAAACAAAAATGTTAAGCTGCTTCTTGTTCTTTGTGGTAATTATTCTTCATTTTCTCCAAAACGTCAAAAAAAAAGTCTGTTACATGTAATGGTTTTATGTTAGTTTGGAAATGAAGGATGAGGATCTGGATCAATGCTTGGGGCAGAACACTGTAGAGAAAGACCTACAGTTATAGGAGATGATGGGAAAAGGGATTAAGAACTGAATCAGAAACAGGAACTCAGAGCTAGAAGTATTACCAACTATCAAGAAAATGTAATCTCATCCTGGGTTATGTGGGATGGGGTTCATTTTATTTTATTTAGATTTGGATATTAAAGGTAAAGATAACCTTAAAATCCAGGGGCCCTAGCAGAGTTCTCCAAAAACCTCTAGGTGTTCCATTTCCCTAAATAGTATCCTGAGCCATCTTTCTAAAATACAAATCTGATCATGTTACTTTCCTGCTTTACATACTTCAGTGAGTCCTCACAACTAAATGATACAGTCTAAAGTCTATAACATGGCCATTTAGACTTCTGCATACCATGCCAACCTCTTCTCTCATATGTTCCTCTTAAACTTTGTATTTCAGCTATACTGAACATTCTAACATGCCACTCAGTCAATAGGAATATTCTTCAATATTCCCTTCCTCCAGCCCTCTCCCATCTCTTTGAGTCTGTGGTATTCTCACCTGATTATCCTGCCCCTTTAGAGGTCTAAGCTTGGACATCATTTCTTCTGGAAAGTCTTTCCTGACATACTGAATTTGGATGGCAGTCCTTCTTCTATGCTCAGTACATACTTAACCTTTCTTGTTAAAGCACTCATCACTCTGAACTGTTTGCTTACTTTTTATGTTACAGTACAGACTGTAAGCTCTGTGGGGGAAAAGACTGAATTTTCCATGCCCAGATCAGTGCTTGGTATAGTGTAGTCAGTAAAGGGTTGACTGACTGACTGACTGAATAATGCATTAAGAAAATTTCAATTAACTGAACATTTTTAGTCATAAAAAACCCGAGGATAAGAGGGCTTCTTAAAGCAATTTCACAGTTCTTATTTGGCTTTTAATCATTGTGAATCTTGGGATTTTGGCAGGAGAACAATTTTATAACTAGCCCAGAAGACCTGGATAGCAACTAAATAGAAAGGCACAAGGAACTCATTGTCATGGGACAAATGAACCATTTTCTCCAGCACAGAGGAACCTGGGAAGTCCCAGATAGCATACCCAGAGGTTAATACTGGATGGATTTCAATTATGACTTAAATTAATAATCACCAGGATCAGCTAAATGAAGGCACCCTCTCTCATATACTCTTTATAAGCCTCTCAGTTGATCCAGCCACATGTGGAGCTCTGAAGAAAGGGCTCTGCTCTGACACTGTCTTCCCCAGGAAGCCTTCCCTGACCACTTGTTGCACCTCACCCCTTTGTCCTTCAGTCCTGGCTGGGCTGGAGTTCTGTGGAGTTCCTCTGTTCTGTGTCCTTTCCACATACGTATTTACATATACCTTTCTCTCTCAGTTGGGGACTCTTTGAGAACAGAGATTGAGTCTGTTTCATCTCTGTCTCCCCAGAGTCCAGTACAGGATCTGACACAGAATAAGTATTCTATAAATGCTTAATGACCTCAGATAAAACAATTGGCTTGAATTCTTCAAAATGCCAATGTCGTGTCATAGAAGACAGAACAAAAAGACTGGAGAACTGTTCTAGGTTAAAGGGAGCCACAGAGACACAACAACTAAATGCAGGGAATGAGCCGTCATTGGATCCTGAATTCAGGGAAAACAGAAACAGCTATAAAGGACATTACTGGGACAATTGGGCTAATCTGAATATGGACTATATACTAGTTAGAAGTATTTTATTAATGTTATATTTCTTAACTGTGAAAATTATAAGATCTATACAAAAGTATTGAGGGATAAAGTCCCTCAACTGTTGTCAACTCTCAAATGGTTCAGCAAAAAAGCAAAAAATACACATATTTTAAGATACACAGATACAAATACACACACACACACTCAGAAAAAGAGACAAAATAAATATGATAAAAAGTTAACAAATGGTAAATCTAGATGAAGAGTACATGGTTGCTCACTGTACTATTCTTGTAAATTTTCTGTATGTTTGAAGTTTTTGAAAATAAAATAGAGAAAAAACTAATAGTTTCAAATTAGATAAGGAAACTTAATGGGATATGCAACATACCTATGCTTTTGGTGACTACCTGCTGTATTGGAAGGGTATGGTCAGTTGGGTTAAGACTGTAAGTGGTAGAGTGGTGTGAAGACAAGACTGGAGGGAAAGAAGGCTCCAGTAAGCCCCCAGACAACAGAAGTGGTGCCTATGGTTGTCAAACTGGTGGAAGTGTGTGGGAGTAATAAATACTAGACCCAAAGGGCAAAGCAAAAACCAGCCCTTATACAGGTCAAGCTCTGAACTGATCAGAACAATGCAGCAAATATTAAATAACCAGGGAAATGCCAAGGGTCAGTAGGAGGACAGGTAGGTAGGCAGGCAGAGAAAACAAGCTACTGAGATATCTAGACAAGGCTCTGGCTTGCCTGGGCACAGCTAGAACATTCATTTCAGGGCAGCAAACAGAAGCAAGGATAAGAGCAGCCAAATCTCTGAGCATTCACTGTAAGAAATGGGGCTTAGAGGATATAAGAAGGTACGAAGAATTAGCTGTACTTATCTGAAAATGGGGGAAGGAAAGGGTGATACCAGTGGCAGAATCTGCTATTCTCAGCCTTGTCTTTTTCTTTGTTGGTGAGGCAAGAAGGAACAGAATTCCTAGGAAAGGTCCCACCCCAATCCCTATATTCAGGACTACAGGCCTGTGACACACATCTCTACCAGACTCTGAATGCTGCCACCAGTACATTTCTGTCAGTTCTTAATGACAGCACTCCACATAAGCATTCTGACTTCCTATTTCTCTGAGAAATCTCTTTTTACATTAGTAGCTACATTCATCGCTATGCCACCCCTTCTTGTTATCGGTTCTTTCAGAATCCCAGGTAGGCCTAACTTCCATTACTGAAGTGCAGATCAGTTTCTGAATGCCAACAGCTTAGGGATATTTAACAACCTACTTTTATCTACACCAACTCCATCATACCCAGTACAGACTATTACTGCAACATTCTAACTTCAAGAATACCTTTTTCTGTTCTCAGATATTCTGATGCTGAAAGAAAGCAATCTAAAGCAGATTGTGTGATAAGTCCCCTCTGAAGAAAAGGATGAGCGAGGGGGTCATAGGTATGGCTGCAGGTACCAGATGGTCTGATCCCCACAGAGGAGTATTTGAAATTCAGGCGTCCTACCCTGCCTACAAGTCATATACGAAATGGTTAATTTGAATGCAGAAGTACAGATGGAGTCTGGGAGACTGGTGAAGTAGTCACTTTCTGGAGCACATTCTTTAAAAGTAGCACTTTTATCAGAAGTGATTCTATCAAGACTATGATGAAAACACAACAAGCAAGACCATGTGGGAGCAAAACCTCTGTAGAAGAGAGTCATAAGAGGGGACCTTTCGGATATGTGCTCCCTTATCAACCGACAGTGTAGCCCCAAAGCTGACAGTACAACCTCTCCATCCCTCTGGCCAAGTACAGAGGACACAGAACTCTTTAAAAATGACCTACCTTACAATGTTTAGTGTCAGGCTTTCCTTTCGTCCCTGTCGTTGTGTGTCCTGGGCTCTAGGTCAGAGATGCCGAGTTCCATTCACTCTAACCTCTTTCGGAAGTGCTTAGTCACTGATTCAGCCACGTGGCACCCGCTTTCCCATTGTGGGTCTGATATGTTAACTCAGAAAGTTATTTTCCAGCCTTCCAGTTAGAAATAGCAGGAACTTGAATTGACTTGCTAGACTGGCAGGGCTGGAAGATTTAGGGCCATGTGCCAAAGGAAACAGTGGATGGCCAATCATCAGGGAGTACATTTCTCAATTTGCAGCCCGACACTAAAACTTCCTGCTGGCAAGGGAGGTCTATGCTAGGCTTTGGCTGCCAGATTCACACTTGGAGATGGACTGTGCCTTTGTGGTGGCTCCACATGCAGTTTGAAGCACAGAAGGGGAATTGTGAACCACCTTTTTCTAGGGATAAAGATAAACGGGAATACAAAATCATGAAGTAAGAGTAAAGATGAGAGACTGAAAAGTCCCAGGTGTGGCAAAGTTAAATGACAGAAAACCAGATCTCTGGATAGCAGGTGCCAGGCTAGCAGGTCTGAGGGGTACCTGTCCACCCCATGGGGCTGCTATCCCGGCACCCCTCTCTCAGCCCAAGCCCCTCTCAGCTCCTACCTGGTAGGTACCTGTCGTGGCTGTGGCTGTATTCTGTGGCAGTCAGTGATAAGTGAGTCTGTGTAAAGGGCTGGTTGCCAAACAGATTGTCACTACGAAGGTTGTGGCAGAGTTTCTCCAGGAAGCGGAGGATGGAGGTGATGCTGTTGACTGCTGGGAGGTTGAGGGTGTGCTGCTCCCGGTCAAACACAGCTGTGGAGTTAAGTGAACAGGGCTGAGCATGTCAGCCAGCAGCAGTGGGCAGGAGGAGTCTAGTGCACTGCTTGCCTCAGGCTTTACCTGGTTGCACAATGTCAGTCAGTGCCCCAAGTTTCCTCCCTTCCTCCCTCCCTAGAGGGTTTTGATTTTTGCCTTCAACTCCCAAGAGTTTCTGGGCTTGTAACAATGGGTGTGGTAAGATCAGGTTTGCTGTACCCTGAGCTCTGGAATAATTTTACCCAACCTGTGAAAACAACTGTGAGCATAATTCTATCTACTCTATCACTTGGCTAGGCCTTGTCCAGGAAATCTATTTATTTAGGGTGCTATTCCTATAAAATGTACAAAACGGAGAAACTGGGCATAAATGAAGAATATAACCATTGCCATTAATGGTTTCGGTACAAAATTTTCAATTGGTAATATGGGCAGTAGAATTTTGGCAACATTTAGAAATGTCCCATGCTTGGTTTTACTTCAATCCCTATCTATACCTATTGAAAAAGCATTAGTATAATCCATAAAAAACAAAAGTTTGTATATTTTTCTCTGAGGGCAGAAAAGAAGTGGGGAACAAATTTTGGGACAGAGGGGTACAGGTGACAGCATCTAAGAGATGCAGTAAATATTAGAACAACCCAGCATATGAGATCAAGAGAACAGCATTTCCTAGGGATAGAGCTAGGAAGGTTGGAGGGGGATAGGAAGGAAGGATGAAGGGAGGAAAGACACAGGGAGGAAGTGGGAAGAATGCTATCACAATGTGGGAATTGTAGTAAATGCCACAAAATAGAATGTGTATACCTTGTTGACTGGAAAACCAATTTGCTCTGTAAACTTTTGCCCAAATTACAAATAAATAAATGAATAAAATTCGAATAATAAAAAATGAGAGGCAGTAAAGAAGGCCAGGTCCACACAGACTGCTGCATAGAAAGAATGGAGAGACCATGAAATGACCTGGGCCTGAGAAGGGCCATAGTCTTAATGAATCCCCTGTGATTCTCAGTCTTCTGTAATTTCCTCTCTGCCTCCCTCCATCCTCCAAGCAGCCAATTACTCCCTATTTTGGGCTCTAAACCACCCTGTACACATTTTTCTATTATAACACTGCTCATAGTTTATTGTTTATAGTCTTCCTTTTCCACCAGGGCAGAGCCTGCGCTGATTATTTTCCACATTCCCCTGTCCCCCAGTATTTGGCAGTTAACACCTGACATAGAATAAAGGGCTCCATAAATATTTACTAAAAGAATACAGCTTGGTTATTTATGAGGTCTGCCATGTCAATTGGGTTCACCGGGACTGGACATTGCAACTCATTAAGAAAGATGGGTAGGGGAGTATGGAATAGAGTACATATAAGACTGAAAAGCTCTAGCTCAAGTCTTTACAGATTTGGTGAGTAAAGATTTTTTTTTTTTTTTTTAATAGTCGGAAAAACTGATACAAAAACAGGGCACAGCAGAAAAAGTGAATCTTCTCAGTGAAAACAAAAACACTGCACAGCTGAATCAAACTCTTTTAGTAGGAAAGAAAGAAGGAATGACTCTTCCCACTCTGCCCTGGGATTCTACTCCTTTTATCAGGGCTGGCTTAGCACTGGGAAGCTAGGAGAAAGAATAGGGGAAGAATTCAGCAGATCCTTGAAGCCAGGTGGGAGGCTGTCTAGTCTGGACGAACCCTTTTGCCGTCAGAATTCAGCTCCCTCTAGATTCTGTCTTCTGGAATGGCTTTAAAGCAACACACTCATGTATTTTCTGTATAGGAGAAGTTGAGCAGATAGGACAGGAGTCTATTTAGAGGCTTAGTTAAGCAGAGTCTGTGTGGATATTCTATTTGGCAGAGGTAACATATGAGCCTCAGAGGGGCCCTGCAGCTGAAGGGGAAGACTTTCTGAGAAATGGAATTCCTTCACATTTCTTTAGAGTCTACAGGTGTGAAGTAGGGACCAGGATGCCTTGCAAGAACTCAGCCACTTAAGAAGGCCTATCCCTCTAACTAGGTGGTTATAGCAGCCCAAGGGTGCTTACCTGAGATAACCTCACCACCGTGGCCCTGTTTGAGGAAGCTGAAGACGGTTTTCTGGTGATAAGCGCAGTCGATGCAAGCCTGGACAGCTTGCTGCAACACCACAGAGGCACGGGCTGGCCCAAAATGGTCCGGGAGCTGCTGGACCTTCTTCTTATCTAAGTGGGGGCCTGTGCTGCCGTTCTTGTTCAAGTAAATACAAACTGCAAGAGACAAAGAACCAAAGAAGCTTAGAGAGTCTCTAGGGTAGGAAGTCAGAGAAGAATGCTTCTTTCCGTCTTTTACTCACTGGGCTCTGGTCCATAGCAGGATTCTCAGATGCTAAGCTGGTGAAACATGGAGGGTGGAGAGTGAGGGCCAAGAAAAGGTTGTGCCCAGCTGTTGTGAGCCCAAAATGCATGACCAAACGCTCTGGAAACACAGCCTGCTGGGAGAACAGCCCAGATCTAAAGCCAAGGCACAGAACTTTGCCTCTTTTGTCACTGAGATGAAAATCTAAATAATTCCCCAGATGTATGTACTTTCATTTTCTCTACTTGGTGGTCTCACATATTCTTTGTTATCTCTCACTCTGTATGTGTAAGGAGCTGTGGGGCCATGGCAATATTAGCAAGTGTGTGTGTGGGGGGGAATGGGGGGAGCATTGGATTTAGGATGACCGTACCTCTGGTTACTTGCTTTACCTTTTGTTATGGACCTTGGAGTACCTTTGTAATCATCAACATCAATACTCAGGCCCAAAGAAATTAGAAAAGATAGCAAAAAGTTGAAATTGAAAAAAAAAAAAGAAAAAAAGGGGTGGGTTTCATCTATGTATTTGTTTGAGCAGTTTCTTCTGTCAAGACAGCTGGGTACTCTCCTAGTTGCTACCCTCCACCTGGCACTGTGGTAGGGTAGAGGGTATGGTGAGCATAGGAAAAAGCAGCTGTCCTAAACAGAGCTGTTTCCTCAGTCTCTGGAGAAGATCCACAGCAGCCTGGCAAGCAATGACATTCTCCCCCAATCTGCCTTGCAGGCTCCACCTTGAGTAGGGGGGGTACTCTTCTATCTCCTACTTGTGGCTGACTAACTGAAGGGGTAGAAGGCCAGAAAGTCTCTTGCTATTAAAGATTAAAAAGGATAAGAGAAGTAGCTGTGTGGCCCGTGGGATTGCTGGTCTCCTTGGGCCTCAGGTTTCCCATCTGTACAAGGAGAGGGCTGAGGCGCATGCTCTATGGACACTTCTACCTTTATAATTCTAATTCTAAAGGGAAGCAGCAATATGAGGAAAATAAAATGGAAAAGAGAAAAGAGGGTTAGAGGTGTGGAAGCAGACAGGAGCAAAAAAAAGAGTAAAGAAGAGGAATTGAATACACACATTTAACACTGTTCTCTCCTGAAATTCATTCATTAAGATGGTAGCCAGATAACAAGAGAGAAGACAACAGGATTTTGGAAGTTGGAAAGTAGGTTGGAAAAGTAGTGACTGACTTAGCAGACTCAAGAAAGTGGAATCTTGAACCAGAAATAGTGACTAATAAGAACCAAGCAATTTCATCTTATAATCCACATAATGGCCAGGAATTGGAAGACCTGGGGCCTCTGCAGGTGAGTGTGAAGGTAGGTCTAATAAAGGAAGGATTGGTTGAAGCCTTTTATATCTAAATACAATTAGGATTTCCATGTCTGGTAATATGACTCTTGGACTGAAAACAACTAAAAATACAAGAATTCAGTGAGATAAGAGTAATGAAAATAAATGAAAACATATGTTTATGACAAGACACTTAATAGAATGTTCACATCTGTTTATTCATCATAACCCAGAACTGGAACCAAGCCAAATGTACATCAAGAGAACAGATATACAAGTTGTAATGTATTCATTTAACAGAACACCAACTTGGCAGTAAAAAAGAAAGAACTCCCTACCTATAGGCACAACATGGGTGCTTCTCAAAAATATCATTTTGAGTGTGTGGTGCAGTGAATTACTTGGTATGGCTTTTCTACCCATAGTCTTTGTAACTTCCACAGGATTACTGGGTGAGACCACGCAAGTAAGGTGTGTAGAACTCTGATGTTGGGATTGGTTAGTTTTGTCACTCTGCCAGGCTTAAAATGAGTCCTGCTAGGGAGTTCCAGCAAGACGGCGGACTAGGCAGAAGGACTGCACAGACCCTCTTCAACAAAGACAAGGGAAACCAATTGACACAGACACAGAATATAATCTTGGACCCCTGAGCCTTGAAGGGAAGGATACAGAAGTAGACTAAACCCCAACTAGCAGAAGAATTTGCGTGAAAATACCAAAAAAGGAGACATACAGAGCTGCGGTCTGGCAGGGACCTGAACGCCCCTGACGGCACAAACGGCTTGGACATTCCCGAGTGGTGGTA